GAATCCCAGACTGTCTTATCTGCACTTTTGCTCTTGTATGTAGATGTAATATAATGGGCTGCTTTACAGTCCAAACGCTACAATAATTATATTATATATATATGTGATTTTTCTTAAAAAGCCTCATATGTGTTTTTTCACCAGGAGAGTTTTTCAGTAAATCCCTTGTAGAAACTGTACATTATGCTAAATCTAATGCACTGTAATGCTCATTTATGCAGATAATTTTGTTTTTAACCAAGATTTTAAAATCAGTGTGTGGATGTTTCTAAGAAAATAAGAAAGGTAGTTTTTTCGAATTTGACACTTACTGTGAGACTAATTACAAGAACAGGAAAACATTGCCTATAGGTTGGAGATTTTACATTACCATCTCCATTTTTTGAAAGTCTTTGAGAAAACAAAAAATGAGGAATTTGGGGGAAATCGGTGCAAACTGTTAAGTCCCAAATAAGAGAGATTTGTGTTCTAATTATGATAGTTTTATGATGCAATTGAAAAAAAATAAAGAAGATTTTTTTTTTTTTTCTGAGAGGAACAGTCAGAAAATACAAATACTGTTGGTTTGTTGTTGTGCTTTTTGGTTTTTTGTTTTTTAAGAAGGGAAGTTTTTAACAACAGAATATAGTCACAGTTTACTTATAATGAAATTATGAAAGTTTAATATAATATACTAGTTTTAGAAGAAAACTTCTGGAACTTTGAAACATTCCTTTTAACTTCTCCCTTCTGGGTGACATAATGAAACACAAATATTGGGGAGAAAAATTTCTTCTAGCATTTATTTTTCTTAACAGACAGAGCTATGGTACAGTTCAAATATTTGTTTTATGATAATGCACAGACAATGTAAACACCTGAAAGCTTATAAAAACACATTCTACATTTGCTGTTGCTGAGGTAAAATATCTGTTCCTCAGAGACCCTACATTTGATGTTTAACGAGATTAAACAGTAAGGCAAAGGTGTCTCAATACTTGAGCAAGTAAAACCAAACTACACTTAATTTTCAGATGTTAAGAAACTGAGATAACCCATGTTAAAAGAAAAAAAAAAGGTTATTATATCCCCATTCTACACCGCCTGTTTCAGACATTAATCTCTCTGAGACAGAAAGCTATTACCAGCGAAATGATAACATCTTTCACAATTTCACCGAGTTTAGTTAAAAAAAATACATAAAAAATAGATGTTCTGGTGTATCATTAGTTTTCTAGTGGGGCTCTTGTGTCTGTTTTAAGCGAGGACTGAGCCCTGACGAAACCCAGAGGCAGGAATTGAGGATGTAAACCCAGTGCTGAAGCAAACCCCCCCTTCCCGGGGTATTCAACTCTTCTTTTTCTTCCCCAGGTGATGAAACTCGGGAACCCCGAAATTGCCAGGAGGTTACTAATTAACGGGGCAAACCCCAACCTGAAAGACAGTACTGGCTTCGCTGTAATTCATGATGTAGCCAGAGAGGGGTTTCTGGACACTTTGCAGACTCTGCTGGAGTTTAAAGCCGATGTTAACATTGAGGATAACGAGGGCAACCTGCCCTTGCACTTGGCGGCCCGGGAGGGGCACGTGCGGGTGGTGGAGGTCCTGCTGGCGCGCGCCGAGTGCAAGGTGGGCCACCAGAACAAGCGGGGGGCCACCGCCTACGACCTGGCCAAGCTCTACAACAGATCCGCCGTGGTGAAGCTCTTGGAGGACAGCAGCTCCTTCCCTGCAGCCATGAATTAAACCCCAGGCGGACCCGCTCTCCTTTGGACACTGAGGCTTTCAGCCTAATTTTTTGGTTTTTCCCCTTCCTTTTTAATAACATTTGCTGCCACTTTACTTGTATTTTTTTTTCTTTTATAGTATAAGTCTCCAGAAGTTCTAGAGGTGGGTTTGGAGAGAATGGAAATGTTTTAAAATCCCTGCTCCCAGCAATTTCTTACACCTGTCATTTACGAATACTCACAGACTCAGCCGTGTGTGTGTTGGTCGCTCATACCTAGTTTTCCAGTATCAAGTTTTACGATTTATTTTAGGTCATTCGTATTAAGTCATTAATACAAGAGCTACATATTCACATGCTTAATGTTGCCGGACTTTTAAGAAAAGGAAATATCTTACTGTGATTTCTCCCACCTCTCAACGCTCCCCACTCCCCCCCCCCCCCCCCCCCCCCCCCAACCTCTCATTTTCCCCCTCTTCGTTCAGGCTGAAGAGTTTGAAGTCCTGTTTTGGATTAAAACAGCCTTTTAAGGGGTAACCTGCAACTCCCTGCTCAGGCAGAGCTTGAAGTCAAAGGCTGCTTGGCCTGAGGACAGAGGATGGCGCTTAGAGGCTTTGGGAAATAGCTGCATTTTGACACTAACAAGAGCTTGTAGAAGTAGGTCACTTACTTTCTAAATGTAGATGACACTTTTCCCCTTTGTGTATTTAAACTTTCACCAAGCTGGTTTTGAATTTAGTTACCAGAAACAGTATAAGTGGTGTTTTTTGATTGCCAGAGGTTTTAAACAGCTCAGTCTAGTAGTTCGTGTTTACTGTGCACTGAACGAGACTTTTTTTTCTAGTTTCAAAACAAGCAGCAGAGAACCATTGTCAGAGGCAAGAGGGCACGAAGGCTGCAATACACCGAGTTTTCTGGTCGCTTCATAAGCTGAGGGCAGTTTAGATGCTCTTTAAAAAGTATTTGCTTTCCAGCATCTGTTCTGTTTTGCCTGGAAATAAACTATTTTAATGATATAGCTGCATCTCACAAAACAGGAATATTTGAATAGAGTGACATTTAGGAAGCAGCATGTTTGATATTCGGGAAGCTATGTTATCGCTTGCACCTAAACCACAATTTAGCCATGGAAAATTTTCCATAGTAATACAGTTGGGAGTATTCATCAGACCCAAACCCATTTACCTCTCCAGCTACAACAGGAACTAACGACGCTCAGCACCGTATCGGAAAGGGTTTTGTATGAAACCCTTTGTACAGGATCTGGTTGTTGGACAGACGGGCAGTTTAAAGTGCTTTATTTTGTGTAGTCTAAAAGTTAATTGCGCAAAATAGAAGGTTTAAAATCAATGCAAAATGAGTAATACTTAAAATAGCACTTAAAAGAGAAGGAGGTGTACATTAGTTTAGATGTTAACTCTTAAAAACAAAATATTTTAGCCCCACAAAATCAGTTACTACCGGTTTCGAGTAAAAAATTAATTTGCTGAAGCTATCTGTCACGTTTACCGTACGCTCTGTCACACTGCTGTGTTTTCTCATTAAAAACCTCTGTGAAATATGAAGCTTTGGGCGCTTTTGTTATCATTTTTTGTTCACAAGGGATCTAGAGATCATTAATCCAAGCAGCACCGCACATAGGCTGCATGACTGGAGAGATAACCCACAAAATACCCGGACTAGAGAACACTAAAATCATCTGAAGTGTTAAAGCCGAGCAGCGCGATCCGCAGGTTCCCGAGGTGAAGTGACCCAAACCACCCTGTTGCTCGCCGTCTGCCTTTCCCCGTGTCCTGGAGGATGCTCCGAGCTTTTCCTTTCTCCACAACCAGGAAAGCAGGAATCCGCGCTCCCCCCGCGATTTCTCCCACCCGCTGCTCCAGCAGAGGCGAACACCGAAAGGTAACATTCCTCTTCCTCACTTAATTTTCACCTGTGCTACTAAAAAAAACTCATCCCAGACCCTTTTGGAGCTCCATCAGCATTGAATTTATGCTAAACCGAAGTTTAAGTAGTGGCTTAATAAAGGAACTTGCTTTTCCGAGCAAAATGCCCCGCCTGGGTAGAAATAGCGGTTTTTCGTGCGTGCCAGAGGTTCGTGTTTAGAGCCGGGACGGGTCACACCACGGCCGTGCCTATGGCGTTAGCGGGTGACTCACGGGCCATGTTAAAGCTCCGTTTTATTTGCTTTTACTGCTGCATTTCCCCTCTGAGCCACTCCGTTTATCAGAAACTATATTATATTCCTAGTTAGATACTTTGAAAGAGAAAATTACTCTCTGTTGCCCCGGGAAGTTAATAGTTACTGCAAAAAGTCTCTGGACAGAAATAAATCATCTGCTGGGTTCCGTGCACGTTACAGGGTTTGTAGGTGACAAAATGTGCCCAGGTGCTGGGGGAGCGCTGGGGGGCAGCTTTCCTGAGGAAGTTTTAACATTTACTGAGCGAGGAGAAAATAATATAAAGCAAGTCTTATTATTAGGAATCCTTATACCGAAAAAGTATTCTACTAACGGACGTGGTGTCAGAAATTACTTTTGTGATTTTTTTTTCCCTAGTAGTCTGGCAACATCAAAAAGTCCAGTTTTAAAAATTCGCCTATTTGTGAAAATATCAGCAATAATATTTACCCGGAGATGCGAAACTGCAGTGTGTGAGATGGAACGAAATATTTTTTGAGAGCTTTTATTGAGACATAAACCAACTGAAAAGTAAGTTTCCCAGGCAGGAGCAGAGATCGCCCTGCAGCAGCCCAGGAACAGGCAGTAAACAGTATAGCATCGAGATGAGATGTATAAATAGAAACAAATACAGCAAGCACAGAAAAATGTGAAGCAAGAGAGCATAAAATGTGGGTGTATCAGGATTCGTACTGATCAGGCTACGTGAGAATAGAGCTGTGAGGAAAGAGCCCTCTCCCCTATTTCGGTTACACGGATGAGCAGAGCCGTTACACTTGACCTTTGTTTCTAAATCATCCAACGGCGAGGGCTGTTGGATTTCTTTTGAAAAAAAGGGGCAGATCCTAAAAGGATCCTACAGGGAACGAACAGAGTTGTAATCTGTGGCAGCAGCACCGTGGGAGGGGGAAAGAGCCGGACTGGGAATGCTGGGGGAGAGGTGCGGGGCTGGCACAGGCACAGGGAGCTGCCCCTGCGTTTCTATAGGCGAGGGTGAATTATATGGTATTTGGAGGTGAATTCAGATCAGTCGCCGGTGCAATAAATGACTGCACTTTAAAGAATATGAAAAGACTTTCTTTCCAGTTTTCAGTGTGGGGAGAGGAAAGAAATCAATGCTTTATTTCATGGTGGGATGAGAAATGAGCTTCGTAGGCAATGCCGTTGCTTTATTCACATGAATAAAGGGTTAAAAGAGGAGAAAACCACCACTTTTTAGCTTTTGAAAGAAAGAAAAGGGTCTCCTCCACAAATGTACCTGGCAATTCAGTGGGCAGCCAGAAGCAACCATACATTATTA